GAGGGACGAGCAAGTCCGAAACACATGTTTAAAGTGTATGTGTTCAGGTGAACTAAATAAAGAACATTATTTTTGAACTGTAAGACTAAATATCTGCATCCATAATTCCAGTATAATAAGTCCTGTTAATATATAGAATGTACTAGTAATACAAAATAAATTTTAAATAGAGTTATAAAAAAAGGACAAAAAGGCATAATAATTAATGCAGTTTCTGTTCTGCCGATAGTTGCTCGCTTGATGAAATGATATTATCAAATTGCATTTTAAAGTTACTCCATTCTTCATATCTTCCAGAGAATTTCGGTACAGGAATCTCCGGCAACTTAATATTAGCGGAGTTATTTCGAACTGTGGGTACATGTCTTACATTATGTAGAAACCGGAAAATATAACTGAGTATGCGAATTAATTTCATATAATTATTATTAAGTTCAAACAAGGTATTGTCAAGGTCAGAACATGACACTGACATTAAATTAACGTCCGATTGTTTTTTAAGCTCAGATAGATATTGCTCATCTGAGAAAATGTCGATGGCATATTCATCCTGATGTTCAACGGATGATGCTAGTTGAGATTGCAGCCCACTCCACCATAATTCCGTGGATAGTAGATCTTGCGGTTTTAAAACCCCGAGAAACTACGTCTGCAGGATTGGAGTGGGAAGCTGTGTGTTTCCAGTGACAGCCTTCAGTAATAGATCATATCTTTTCCACTCAATTCACAATAAAGGTCTTCAGGTGATATGCGGGAGTGTTGATCCAAGCAATGGCAATAGTTGAATCTGTATGTAAGATCACCTCAGCTGTATTCATTCGCAGACATGAGCGTACCCTTTTGATCAGCTGAGACAGTACAAGACAAGCTGATAGCTCTAATCGAGGGATTGTAATGACCTTAAAGAGGAGCGACACAAGATTTACTAGCAATAAGTCGTGTCTTTCCAGCTCCATCTTCCTTTATGCAATGCATGTAAACTACTGCTCCATAAGCTGACTCCGAGGCATCTGCATATCCTTGCAAGACAGCTCTTTGAAGGGGATCTGTCAAAATATATCTAGTAATCTTAAGGTCGTCCAAGGCCTTCAAGGACGATACAAAGTTCACCCATTCATAGTTAAGGTTTTCTGGTAGAGTATCTTCCCAATTGAGCTTACTGAGCCACAGTTTCTGTAGAAAGATCTTTGCTCGAATTATAACTGGTGCTAGAAGACCCAAGGGGTCATAAAGCCTGGCGATGACACTCAATACTTCTCGTTTCGTATAAAGCAATTTTTCAATCGATACCTTGAATATGAACTGATCTTCAACCGGCTTCCAAGTAATTCCTAAGGTTTTTACTGTTGGTTCCGCACTTGAGGAAAATCAATGTTCTTTATTTTCTGGTGAACTACTGTTCATCAATTTCATTGAATTAGAATTCCATTTGTGTAGTGTCATTCCATAGGTGCTCAACATATTGCACAACTGAGATTGTAGTTCGAGGGCAGCATCGAAATCTTGCTCACCTGATACGATGTCATCCATGTAGACATCTCGTAATATGGTATTAGAGGCCAGAGGATAGCTTGCTGCTTCATCGTGAGCCAACTGCTTAAGAGTTCTCATCGCAAGAAAGGTAGCACTGGCGGTCCCGTAAGTCACAGTTTTCAGTCTATAGGTGACTGGCATTTCATCTTCCTCGTTCTTCCAAACAATTCTTAAGAGATCTTGTTGCGAGGGCTCAATTAGAATTTGACGAAACATTTTCTGGATATCTGCTGTAAATGCATACTTGTATTTTAGAAATCTTGTCATAATCTCGAAAACATCTTCCTTTACTTCACCTTTCAAGAGATGATCATTTAGGCTCAGTCCAGAAGTTGTGGGAGCAGATGCGTTGAAGACTACCCTTAACTTGGTAGTGGTTTTGTCTGGTTAAACACACCATGATGCAGAAGGTAATAACATATGGGGTTTGCTATCTGATCACCAGAATGCTCTTGAACCTTTTCCATATGGTCCAAATCCAAATACTCCTTCATAAAATTCTGATATAACTCTTTTAACTGATTGTCCCTTGATAGTCTCTTCCATAACTGATTAAATCTCCTCAAGGCTAATTTCCTTGACTCTCCCAAGTTTTGTATGTCCTTGGTTGCCATCTGCACAATATATCTCCTGTCCTCATTACGTCTGTGAGTTCTTTGATAATGATCTTCGCAATACTCCTCTTCNTTATTATAAATACTCAGGTCAATTAATCAACAGGAGAAAAGATGAATGGAAAATTATTATATTTTAGATTTTATATTTATATTACCATTGGCTTTTTAATGGTTAAACTGTTATGTTTTGTTTGTATATGTATATTCCTATTTATTTTATATTACAAATTGTACCATGTGTCATGGTGCAGTATAGCCTGCATGACTCTTGTGCCAGTAAAAACTAACCAACCAACCGATATTCAGCTGTAAAAAATTAAAAGATATGTCTTTGATTTTAAGATGCACTTCATTTAAAATTATATTGAGTTTATTTATGGCAATAAGTTTTAAAACTATTTTTATTAAGTTTTATTGAGTAACAGTTAGAAAATCAATAGATAATGTTTATTAGCTCTTTATACTCATCTGCATTCACAACTGCAAAAAAGCGGTTGTGAATGCAGATGAGTATATATTTCCAGTTATTGTAGTAACTGGAAAAATTGTAACAGAAAATAGACATAACCACAGAGGAACCTTAAACCATTTCCAGTAAGCATTTAATATGAGGAGATGCTGACTAATGTTTTCAGTCTGCTTAAAATACAATTTTATCTCATTAAATACAAAATATCCTATTAAATTATTATATGATAAATGATGATACAATTTTTATCTGCTTAAAATCAATTTTAAAATACATTATTGTTCCTTTTCTTGAATTCTGTTTTAAATGTTCTGATCTGAAGATGATCTAAGAAGATTGAAAACAATGGTCAGGATTTTCTTATATTAAATGCTTAAGGTTTCTCTGTGGTTGTAATGTATTAACTGTTCTTTTAATGCTGCATCATAATGTTAACTTGAAGATATTTTGAATACTGTATTAAAAAAGTAATTAAACACTCATTCCTAACAAAATTTGTTTTTAACTAATGTCACTTTTGAACAGTATAAAGCAAAAAAATTATTTTGTTAATGCATGATGCACCTTGTAAATTATCTGTAATGACTGCTGATTGTTGTTTTGGCTTGCAATTGTAAGATTCACTTCCACTTTAGTTAAGAAAAAGTGGTTTAAAAAAATGAAGTTAGGATGTACTGTACATGATTGTGCATGAAAAAGTAGTCTTGGTGTCGTTTAAGTCTCTTGCACTAGTGCAGTGTTCCGCAACCTTTTTCTACTTGCAGCACACCCATGACTCAGCATACCAAAATGTTATTCCCCTCAAAAACGTATGATATGATACTATTAATAGAATTATGTAATGCTACTAACCTATTATTATTGTTATTAAACAGAATCAACACCTGTGAGCAAATTTATTTTACATATAATTACTTAAAATACATAAAAATGCTTGGCTTTTAATAAAGAATAAACTAACATCATCTTATTTCATTGGTGCTGCAGCAGAAAATGAAATACAAGCATAAGAAACACAACAGCTGTGATAAAAATATATAAATAAAACTTGAAATTAACAGAATATGTAAAAGTTCACGTCACACCTTTCACCATGTGACGGCACACCGGTTATGGAACGCTGCACTAATGTATCATATGAAGTGAGTGAGCTGTATCAGTTGAGTGGACAGTTTTGTTGAGTAAACATGGTGTCCTGTATTGTGCAAATCCACACACAATACAGGAACTGAGAGAGAACATCAACTGCACAGCTGTGTATAGATGACCACTTTCAATGTCTTTTTATGATAGTGATACCAGCAGTTTGCTTCTGCATTTCTGCTAAGCTGCAGACCAGTGTTACTTTTTCATGTGCCACCCTATACTTTAATATTTTTGATTAAATATAGTATTTAATAATCATTCAAATATATTTACAATGAATGATACAACTTAATGAAAAATTATAATTCATTAAACTTGATAATTGTCTGTTTGATATATTAAGAAAAAATACTCACTTTGAATTAAATAAAATTGAATGATTACAATAGTGATCTTGAAATAAATTAAGTAACATTAACAATTTGCTAAATTATAAATTGAAGTTATTAGAATATTAATATAAAATTTTTTTCTAGCATTATTCTAGATATAACTATCCTAATAGCTTAGATCAGCAGTTGCCAACCGGTGGACTGAGGACCACTGATGGTCTGTGAAGAAATTTGGACATTGATCAACTCAAGACTACATGAAATATTACAAAAGAAATGCAAAATTCTTTGTTGCTTTTTCTCTCTCAATGCAGGTTTTTATTTGAATCTAAAACCAAATGAAAAATGACTGTTATCAATAATTAACAATGTGAGTGTGATTGTCCTTTTTTGTGGAAGAGAGCCAAGAATCCACAAACTTATTTCAAACAGGGAACAACAAACTTTACACTAATTTGTTATATTTAAACAAGTGAATTTCATATTAATAAAGTAAAATGAAACTTTTGTGATTGTTATTCTATAGATGCTTGTGTAATTTTAAAAAAATACATGATAATGGTGTGTGGGATTCAAAATTGTGAGTTTAGTGGTGTGTGAGGTGAGAAAGGTTGGCAACCTCTGGCTTAGAACATTCAGTGTATTATTGAATATGAATTTCATATGGGCAAAAAAAAAATAACTTGTCTGAGTTTAAATTTAAGGTAATGTATTATGGCTTATACTGAACCTCAAGTGTCTGCTTCAGTAATTCATCAAAATAATGATACTTAAAACTTCATATTTGATTTCTAATAATTGTTAAAAAAAAATGTGTTTTACAACATTGAACTAAACATTGAATAAAATAATATTTCAATTAAAATTATGAATATATAAAATAATTTTTATCTAATTTTATAGATATGGAAACTACTATTCCAGAGGACACCAAATTCCAAATAGTCCTCCATTCAAAGCATATGTGGGTAACTTACCCCAAAACTGTGGTGAAGATGATTTTGAAAACATATTTGTTAATTTAAATGTAAGTTGTAAAATATTTAAGTGTTTATTTTTATTACATGCATTATATTTTCTGTCAATTCTAAATTTATATAATTGAAATTAATATAAAGCTGTAAAATAAATACAGCTGTAATTGTAAAAAAAAAAGGAAAACAGTTTGAACTTTCCTAATATCAGTTTAAGTATATTTATTAAAGTTTATTAGTTATCCCATGTCATACAGATGTGCTGAACCAACATCGTTTTAGTGACAAATTTATCTAGCATTGATATTGGTGCATAAAAACATTTTTAATGATTTATTATTCTCTGTAATAATCTAAGTTTGTACATTGATTTTTATGAAAATTTAACCAGAAGTTAGCTTTATTACATTCATCCAGTTTTTTTCATAAAAAAAAATGGAAGAAATAAATCATTGAACCAGTTCTTATTCACTAGAAGTTTTTGGTCTGTTGCACCCAAGCACTTCATAAAGCTGGAAGGCAAGCCAAAAAAAAAAAAAAAAGAGAATACTGTTCTAACTGTTTTGTAATGATTATTAATGAACAGCATTCCTCCTGAATAATTAAGGACATTCCTTACTTAATATGGAATATTTTTATCTTGTGGAAATATTTGAGATATTACTAATATGATGTAGTGTGCATGCACACACACCTTAAAGATGTAGTCACTATTGAAAATTTACAATATATTATTTCATTTGTACTGTAGTTTCATGCATTACTGAGCAACATTTACAAGATAACTAAAAATTTATTTTAATATAAATCAAGTGTTGAAAAAGTATTGTTTTCTCTTAAAATCAAACTCAAATGTAATGAGCTCAAATTATTTACTAAATGAAATAGGCAAAAAAAATTAATCAAAACCAAAATTTTCATGTTAACTACTATATACTGTATATTGACAACTCATTTGGCAAGTCATGAGTATATTACAACAATACTGCATACTATAGTTTTATTTTGGATGAACACGAATGTGTTTATGGAGGTTACTGTAATTTAAAATATCTGAAGCTGCACTTTGCTTCAGACTTTAAGCTTGTAAGCTGCTCTTAGTCAGTTGGCTCAGTCTTCATAAGCTGGGTTAAAAGTTCAAAATAACATATGTGCATATGCGCACACAGGATGTTAAAGAAAAGTAATATTGTTATTAGGAAAAGTATTTCTGCACCAAATTATTAGGGTTGATCATAAAATAAGTGACGGCCAGATGGCCGAGCAGTCAAGGTGGCAGCCTACCACTTGGGGACCGGGATTGAATCCAGGCGGGTCAAAGAATCCCCAGGAATTTTTGGGGGGTGGTCCGTTCGGATGTGTCGGGCCCTGTCCCTCACCACCTGGTCTCCTCGTGGGCCTGGCCAAACCCATAATGGGCCTGCTTTAAGAGGCCCTCTTAGTGCCCACAGGGCGGAAAGAGTAAAAAAAAAATTCATAAAATAAGTAGACAAAAATTGCAGGTTGACAAAAACAACTTTAATCAAAGTAAGTGCCACAGTTGTTAAGGCATTTGTTTCATCTTTCCCCCAGGCAGTGGATGTTGCACTCAAAGAAGCTGGTGGGCTGCTGCAATAGCCAGTTCCCTACTGCACTCTTAACCTTGTTGTCTGACTGAAACCCTTGCTTGTTCAAACCTTTATTTAATGGACCAAACATGCTGCAGTCACTGGAACTGAAGGTTGGCATTATAGAGGGTTTAACTGCTCCCAGTGGAACTAGTGGAGCGTATTCTGCTTAGCCTTATTGCAGCTTGGAGCTTCTTCATGGTTTCACAATAGGAAACTGAGTTGATAGTTGTTCCTTTGGGAAGCCACTCAATGAGCATGGGTCCCTCTATGTCAAAGAATAGAGTCAACATGACCTTTCCTGCACTGATTGAGGTTTGAAGCTTCTTGGGTAGTGGGGACCCACCATGCTTCCATTGTTGACTCCCATGTTGTGTTGGGGGCTCATAGTGGTGACATTACATCTCATCTCCAGTGACGATGCTGCACAGGAATGAGTCACCCTCTCGCTAGTAGCGGTTGAGATTTGTTCCAGAGAGGCACCCATTCTCCGCTGGCTCTGTTCTTCTGTCAAAAATAACATATGACTTAAAAAGATATATGGAATTAAATTACAGTGGTCCTTTTAAAGCTTCTGTCAGAAACTTTGGAGCTCATGTGCAGCAAATTTTTTGGTATCCCAACTGTTGGCTTATGATGTTACATACATTTTAGAAACTGACGTGCAACGCATTTGCCACCGTTTGAATTGTTATGCATCAGTTCTGTTGAATGAGGTCATCAACCATTTGAACAATTCTGAAATTCCCAGTCACTGCTAATGGCCGACCAGAGCAAGGTTATTCTTCGTTGATTGATGGTCACCTGCAAACTTCCTTCACCAGTTGAAAATGGCAGGACACAAAAGGCTGTCTGCTCCATAAACCACCTTCGTTCTCTACAAAATGGTGGCTAGCTTTTCACCTTCCACTGTCAAAAACTGTATTACGGCACATTGACCACCTCTGGAGGAATCCATGTTGTTGGTTTGTTCTGCAACTGAAACCAAAACCTGTAATGAACTGTTGCTATGATTATGCTTCGATGTGCACCGCAGCTTCTTTATATGCATTGTTGCCAACAAAAACTAAATCTACTTATTTTATGATCAACACTAATACATTGCAAAGTAGTTAGAAGATTAAACAAGATTATTCTGATGATGACAAAGATCTGCAGTCCAAAAACATGGATTATTACAAGTGTTTGTCGATCTTTAATGGACTGTAAAAATATGAAAGTACTGCAGTTTTGCAAAAAACGTTTAATGCAGAATGAAACACTGGTACAAAATGGCCGCTACAAATGGCCATTACAAAACTATTCTCGTTCACAAATTTTTAAATTAAAAAATTTTTTTTTATGACAAAAATATGGTGGCGCTTGAGGCGCTAATATCCTGGCCTGCATTGAAGTAATACTTCAATAAACAATGTTAAACATAAATTTAATAATTACAACAGAAATGGCACGTATAGGTCACTAAGACGAACCACATTTTCTTCCTAGATGGATGGTAACAGGCACAGTTTGGTTATGCTTCTCTTAAAAACACCCTTAGGCGTTTTCACCAGAACCACTCTCACCTTTCCGTCAGATCCTTTGATTACTTCTTGTACTCAGCCCATCGACCAACTACCGGGTGGGAGATTTTCATCCTTTAAGAGGACCACCACCACTTTTAAATCCTTTATTTACAAGTGCCTCGACACCGCTAGGCATAGCCGAGGTAAGAATACATAAATGTTACATATGTAACAGGTCATTTTGTAATACAAATTTTCATAGAGTATAAAATGATACACAATATACATGAAAACATATGAACAAACAATAAACATCAATAATAATATTTACAATCACTACAGGCCACTTGCCAGTAGTGGTAAAAGTAGGGTTAAAAGCTTTTGGATATTTTGTTATATTGTATAAAGCAACAAATAACAATAACAGCCGCCATAAGGCAATACAATAGTACGTGTAAAAGAGAAAAATAACATATGACTTAAAAAGACATATGGAATTAAATTACAGTGGTCCTTTTAAAATATATTTTAATAAGGTCTCTAGTGGCTTGGAACAGGTTGTTATCTCCAATCAAAATACTAAGATCAGATGGCCATCCGCAATTGTTAGGTAAAAGTGCAGTAATGTGTGCCCGCATATTGTCTAACATAGGGCATTCTAAAAGATAGTGCTGAGAACCGTCGGGAACACCGCAGATTGTACAATTCTGTTGGTTTGATATTTTAAATCTGTGGAGATACTGGTAAAACCTGCCATGGCCGGTGTAAAATTGGGTGAGGCAGTGCTCCACGTCATTCTTTACTGTATTAGAGACCAAAGGGAAAAAGTCTTTTGTTAGTGTGTTGTTATGTGTGTTCCAGCAACGTTGCCACCTGTCCTTAGCGTAGTCTTTGATTCTTTGAATTATATAGCTCTGTGGTGTTGCAGAGTATGTAGGATCGTCACAGGAAGTGGCGGCCGACCGAGCAAGTTCGTCAGCTCGCTCGTTGCCGAAGACACCACAGTGTCCTCTAACCCAGATCACAGTGAATCTGTTGTTGTTCTCTAATAAATTATTTAAAATGCAGTTGACTATTGGATGGCGCCAGTTATAATTAGAAATGGCTTGCACTGATGAGCATGAATCCGTGAAGATGTTAATATCCGTGGAGTTGAAATTGTGATTGCACCATTTTATTGCTGACAGAATTGCCCAGAGCTCAGCCTGGAAGGCAGAACAGGTGCTTCCAAGCCTATCTGAGAAAGTATATATTTCTGTGTTTCTCTGGAAAGCCACAAATGCACATCCTACTTCTTCATCGTTCTTAGAACCATCAGTAAAGATATTCAGGTTCTGTTCCAACCAGGGTTGATTATATATAAGTGGCCATTTGTTGGGAGCAACACTTGGAATTTCACTGAGGGACATTTCGATGTTGTTATAAACTCTGTTGTCAAGATCAATGTTATTACCTTTTCTCATGCTCCATCTTTGCACCGTAGTATCAATATGCAAATTGATCGGTTGTTTTCCAGCTATAACCTGCAAGGCGACAGTGGGAGCAGTCGAATATGCCCTGCAGATGCGGAGGAGAGCCCTCCTCTGAGCACTCTGAAGCCGCCTATCAATTTGTGATGTTCCTAGTCCTTCAGCCCAAACCGGTGCTGCATATTCGATCATGGGAAGGAAAACTGAGTCATAAATAATATTCATTATACTTGGACAAAGGCTCCATTTCGCCTTTGCCACCCTAGACATGGCATTGAATAGCAAGTTAGTTTTGTCGCAAGCTTGCTTTATGTGTGGAATCCAAGAAAGTTTGTGATGTAAAATTACTCCCAGGTATTTCAGAGTAGGAACAACTTTAACACTTATATTTCCCATTCTTATGGTTGGCACTCTTCGATACAAATGAGGGGCCCGAGGTCTGGAGAAGACAATTCCTTTTGTTTTATTGGGG